CCCCCCGCAGGCGGGCCCGGCCCTGCCACATCCCTGCCCTAAAACCAGTCATTTCCATTTGCACAAACCTACAGCGTTCAGCCAAAAAGCCGGGAAGCAGCAGCCCTGCGGCCGCGCTCTCCTCCCCGGCACCGGCAGCGGCTCAGCCAAGCACGAGGGCTCCGGGATTCCCAACCTGGTGCTGCCATCACCCATGGAGAACAGGGTAGGGAACCAGCACCAGAGCTGATCATAACCCCGCAGGAGGCCGTGTGGAGCTGCTCCAGCTCCTGCTAAACCACTCCTCAGCACCAACCCCTGCGTGCCAGAACCCCCCAAAACTGCACATGGAGAAAGGCACCTCCAAGGGGAGGTTGCACCCACGGAAGGGCTGCACCGATGGGAAACTCCCTCAATACCAGCACAGGGGGGATTTAACACACTTGGATTTATTCCAGCACCCATCCGCGGCTCCAGCTGGGCCCCGCAGCGCACACGCCGCTACCTGCAGCCACACTCATCCACCACCATGTCCTCATAGTGCCTCAGCACCACGTTGTCGCTGTTATCGTAGTAGAGGATGGAGATGGGGGAGAGCCTGACGGGGACACAGCAGGGCTGGGGGGTCCCCTCGGGGTCCAGCGAGTGCACCATGGTCTGGAGGATGGCGTGGTTGGTGCTGTTGAGCTCGGCGGTCAGCGGGAAGGGGCACTCACCCAGGCAGTAGTTGGCCATGTAGCCCTGGGGGGCGATGATCCAGTTCTCCCAGCCAACATCGCTGAAGCTGATGTAGAGCTGCCGGGGCTTGCAGAGGCTGCTCAGGGTGACCGGGGGGGCCTGAGCACTCCTCCTCCTCCTCCTGGAAGCTCCGCACTGCTGCTGGCTGAGGGTCACCACCAGGAGGGACGTGTCCAGGAAGGAGCTGATGCTGGTGCAGCCGCCGCTCCCCAGGGCTGAGGCCCCATCGCCGCCGCTCCACGCGATCTCCAGGATCAAGCCCAGGTTCCTGCTGTGTGTTCTCCAGTCCTTCGCCACCCCGCTCAGGTCAAAGACAAGAGACTTGTGGAGCTGCACAAAGGACCGTTCCACCAGCAGCTTCTGGCCGCGCTCAGGGGCCGGCGTCCCCCGCAGAGGCAGCCGGGAGCTGCGGTAGAGCCTCAGCTCCAAGCCCTGCCCCTGGCTGGGGCTGGGGCTGGGGTAGGAGTTGTGGCTGAATTTGATCTCCAGCTGAGCCATGGTCAAGCGCTCGCCCTCCTCCAGCACGGAGAGGTTAAAGTACAGGCGCTTCTGCAGGCACAGCAGCCTCGGGGGCTGCCCGTGGTGAATGAAGTGGCCTGACAAAGAAGGAGAAAGAGGTGGGGGGGTGAACCCTGTCACACCGAGCAGGAGCAGCTCCGGTTTGAGCTCTTGGCTGCACAGCCAGAGGGAGATGGGGCTGACAGGAGCACTGGCTGGGAGTGACAACGCTGGCGCACAGACGGTTCAGAAAGGGCTGGAGGCACCAGGATGCTACAGCCATTCCAGCACCTCCTCTGGATGCTACTTAAGTTTGGTGCCCACTTTTCCCCAGCTGTAACCACCTTCCCCAGGCCAGGGGGTGCGTGGTTGGGAGGGAGGGGACAGGAGAGCAAACAGCAGCAAACTTCAGGAGCTGGTAACCTGCCTGTTTTAGCCAGCCCGAGCTTCCCGCTGGAAACCTGGAAGCGCGAGAGACCCAGAGGACAACTGGGTAAGAAGTGGGAACAGCTCAGAGGGGCCTCAGGCTGAAGCAGCCCCATGTGCTGCGTGGCCAGGCAGAGGCAGGAGGACAAACAGGAGGAGGGACAGAGCCAAATGGCCACAACCCGTCCCTGCCCCACTCTCTGGGTGCTGCTGGTCCCACTCACTGCACCCACAGCCCCGGCGGATGGAGGAGCAACATCACCACCATAAGCCCCATGGGTCAGGTCACCTGGGATCAAACCAGCACCACGGGGCTGCTGTAGGTGGCTCCAGGATGGAGCCTCGCACAGCTCCTCACCTTCACCCAGCTCCTCACCTTCACCCTCGGACCATTTCTAGCTGTAAATAATCATCTGCAGCATCCAGAGGGCCCAGAGCTCACACAGCAGCGACCGGGCACTGCCCTGCCCTCCCCCAGCCTCTCCTACCTGCACCCAAGAGACAGCCAAGAAGGACAGAAGCCAAGTCCCAGCCCAAAGAGCTTCCAAAAGACAGGACCCAAACCAGGGCGTTTCTGTACCTTGGTCGGCGAAGACACGGATGATGTTCCCGGGGACATTAAACTCCTCCACCCTACAGGCATCTCCCAGGTCTTTGCTGAGGGCAGGCAGCGTTTTCCTCCTCTGGAAGATCCGCCACAGCACAGAGGGAACAGGAGCGTGGGTTTTGGGGCTGGGTTTGGTGCTCAAACCCAGGGATTTTAACAGCAAACTTTCCTGCAAACTTTCCTGCAAACTTAACTGTGTGGCCAGCGCCGCGCTGAGGAGAGCCCAGGCCAGGCTGGCCTGAAAGCCGGGGAAAAAATTGCCCCGCGCCCTCCTGCAGACAAAGAGCAGCCGGGGCTGGGGACCTGAAGACAAGGGCCAGGGGGTGTCGATGGCCAATTGGAGCCTTTGATCTGCTTAGTGCTCAATTAGCACGAGGGATTCCCAGGATTGGGCAGAGGGTGGGAGCATCCCTCCAGGCTCCCTTGGACCTCTTAACCCTTTGAGGCTGCTGCTCCTGCAATCTCCCTTATCTCCACACCATCCGGGTCCAACAAAAGTCCTTGGTGACAAGGAAGAGGCTGCTCTTCCCCACACAAAGCTGCTCCCACCCACTGCACACATCCCACCCAGACCCGCAGGCTCGGAGCTGGGTCTCCTCCTGCTCCCTCATTGTTTTCTCAATCACAGCATCCAACTCTTCTCTCTTAAAGCCATCAACTTCCAGCACCCCAAACCCTTCAACTCTTCCTTCACCTCCCGGCCCACAAGAAGCTCACAGCCCCAGGGCGGCACAAGAAGCCATCAGCACCCGCCTCCAGCACCCATCCCCGGCCGGGTCCCTGCCCCTTCTCTCCGTGCCTGCTGTCACACACACACAGGGCTGCCCACGGAGCTACCAGCTGAATGCTGAAGCCAGTGCTATAAAATCCAGTTTATCCACACACAAGACAAGGCATCACCTGGGATCTCGGCTCCCTCCATTCCCTCCTTCCTGCAAATCCCTCTTGAAAGCCAAGGAACTAAAGCAGAGACGGCGGCGGGTGAGGAGGGGCCGGATCCCACAGCCTGGGCCAGGCTCCATCAGCCCAAGTCACCTTTTGCTCTCTGTTTCCCGAGGAGCTTTCCCCAGGGCTCACACGAGCCTGGAGCTGGCTCAATACAGCGCCCGAACACGGAACAAAACCACACTGAACCGGGATTAATGCCCTGAATCCCCCCTCATGCCGGGAGGGAGCTGCACGTCCCATCATGGACACTGGAGCAGCCCTGGCCCTGCAAGGGGAGAGCGCTGGGGCTGCCTCGGGACAAGGCTCAGGCCAGCCCTGCCTGGAAAACCAACACGAGGAGCAGGAACTATTTGTTCTTTACTTGAATAAGCAGATGCTGCTGGGTGAGAGTCTGGAGACCCCTCAGCAGGGGACCCTGCAGGACTAGGACTGGCTTTTTGAGCAACTATAAGATTTACACTGGCTTTTTAAGCAAACTAAAGCTCCTGGCCCCCATCCGACAGGCCGGGAGGCTGGACTAACGCTCCAGGGCTGGGTTTCCAGGCAGGCTGGCTCATGGAAGCTGTGCTGTGCCTCCAGGCAGACGTGGGCAGCTCTGCACCAGTGGCCCCTCCTGAGGAGGGAGGCTCAGAGGTGCCTCACATCACCTCTAGTCCCTGCTCAGCAGCTAGAGAAGAGCTGGCTTCAGGCTCCCCTGGCCTGGGACGGTGCTGCCCGTGCAGGAGAGGACGTTTCCCTCCCCACTTTGATGCTGGGTCAGAGAAGCCTTCAGGGGCTGCTGGAGAAGGGTTGGTGGGAGCGTCCAACAGTAAAGACAGGGGATATCACAAAGGGACTGAGAACAGCCAAGGGATGGAGCGACAGAAGAAACACCAGGGGACCTAAAGCCAGCTCCAAATCCTACCTGGACCAGCAAAGCCACCAGCCTCTCAGCTGAGCCAGCCCGGGCTGGCGACACAAAGCACATGAGCATCAGGTGAAGCCTGGTCACAGCCAAGCCCCCGGAGGGGCCTGG